TGGGCTCTGCCCCTACAGCGCAGCGTGCGCGCCGCGGGGAGCACCTCTCAGACGGCGGGGAACCACCGGAGGCGACCCCGGACCACCGGCTTGCCGGGGTGGAGATGAGAAGGCCGGGAGTAGTCGGGCAGTTGGACTTCACCTGCTCCTGCTCGGTGGTAACCGACTGCCGCAGGTGCCGAGCTCCCGCTAAAAGGAGCGGCTCAGGAGCGGCGCTTTACACCTTCGACCGGGGGGCTTCGAGAGGGAAAGGGAGGGGAGCGGCTCTGCCGCCCGTCCGGGACACCGGCTTGTCCCCCCCTCTTCGTTGAGGAAGCTGCTGAGGCTTCCTCCGGGGCTCCCCACCGCGCCGCGTCTGCGAGCCAGGAGGGCTCGCTTTCATTTATTTATTATTTATTTTATTTAGTTGCAGCACCCACTAGTGCCAGCTGTTATAAAAAGCGCATTGAAGTGGGACTCGTAACGTTAGCGGCTGCCTCCGTGCGCCAGGGAGCGAAAGGTCCTCGCTCCGAGGCCGCACACCGAGGACGGGGGGGTTCCAAAGGGCCCTGCGGACAGTGAGATGCGACGGGGCTGGCACCGTGCTCCCCAGGCCCGCTGCCTGTCCCACTTTTACGGGTTAAAAGTCAATTAGGGAAAACTAAATCGGTCTCTGTTTTTGTTCAGAAATGCACTTCTGACAGATTTGAAAGTCTTTGCCAGGCAAAGGGCCTCCCCTCCTAGACCCTGAGCTCCCTGAGCTTCAGGCAGTATTTCAAAAGGAATAGTTTTTTTCTAAGCGGTTATGGAAACGGTATTCCCTTATAAACTCAGGGAATACCATTTTCCAGGCGTATGGCTGAAATCTCCGTTACAAAGTGCCAGGAAAACACATTTTTTTTCCATCAGAGCCCGTTATGCTTTCCTCCCCCCCCCTCCCCCCTTCCCCGTCCCCGCCAGGACGAGCCGCGCTGCAGTCTCGCCTCCCGCAGGAGCCGGCAGGCACCGGCAGCGCCCGGGGCTGACGGGGCAGCCCCGGGGCACGCAGGACCGCTCCACTTCGAGGTGCTACGCCGCGGGCCCCGAGTCTGCTTCGGGGCTGCGGTGAGGCAGCCGTGGGGCTGCCCTCGGTCCTCCCGCTAGCAGCCGCTTCCCCGACGTGTCGGCGCGGAGTCACCATAGTGTGCGAAACGCCTTGGCAGCAGTGAAACCCCTCCGCATGCGACTGCTGGGGCCCTGCCCGCCCGGATGCCGGAGCAGGCCAGTGGCGGTCTGCCCCGGCCTCACAGAGAGGCCGAGCATCCCGCTTCACCCGCATCCTCAGCCCCGACGGTGGGGACTGCTGCACCTCCCGCTGCCTGCCCTGGCCTACTGCAGGGCCAGCCGCCTCGCCCCGGACCTCGGACCTCCAGTTGCCGCTGGCTTACCCCCCGGCCACCTCTTCGTGGCAGACTGCTCTCTGCTCCCCATCTCCTGCCGGGGCTCCCCAGAGGGGAGATGAGAAGCTTCCCGGTACTCAGTGCTCCTGCTCCTTTGCCTCTCCTGCATCTGGTACCTGCTAGAGGGATGAATTGTCCAAACTATTTACGGACAGCTTGATTTGACAGGGCTATAAATGTTAGTGCTGTCAATGAAATATTTCGACTGGCATCCTTCCCTTGGACACAGAGAAAAGATGTACTACGGAAAGGCAAAACCGAAGTGATGCTACATGTGAGGATGAAATAACAATGTCCCGCCAGTTAATAATCCAGTTTAGAACTGGGAGAGTGCCATTAAACTGGGGAAAGCGAAATAAACAGGGTGGGGAGGAAGGGGATGTACCCCGACGAGGCCATCCCCCTGCCTCCAGGTGCCTTTTTGCCACCCACTTACAGACCCACCATCCAACCCCGGGGTTAACCTGAGTTGCCCGGATCTCCTGGTCTCCACGCAGGTCCAACGAGGGACCCAGTGGCCGGGCTGTTCCAGCTGCAGCCCCGCAGCCTGAAGGGGTATTTAACTTGAATGCGGTATTCTCAGAGGCGAAGGATTCCACCCCTCGCTGTGACCCACAGATGAAACCGGGGTCCTCCCACCCGGACACTTTGCAAGAATGTCTTCCAAGGCTCAGCCAGCTATGGAGTTACTTTCTTTGATTGTCGTAGTTTGGCAATCAAGGGGCACCTTAATTTGAAGGCAGCAATCCTGACTTGCAGGGCTCCCCTACGTGTTTCCTGGATTGGGTCACACTTTCTGGCTGGCCTAATTTTCTTAGTCCCTTACAAAATACATCAACAGGGAAGAGAACTATCGACGAGGGCTGGCGATATTTTAACACGGGCATCAGAAATGCCACAGAAATAAAGGGGGGGGAGGTCCCCCCGCTTTTGACAGGGCGCTCCAGCACTCTTGTCGTGTCAGTTGCCTCTGGGTGTAATTTTTACAAGTTAGGGCATTCAGTGCCCTTGAAGACCAGAACTCTAGAGACGCCGTGCGTGCAGCCCTCGGAGGTCCGAGCGTGCGAAAGGCACGCAAGCCAATGCTATTAAATAAAAAGTAATTAACTTCCATCTCAAAAGGCGCTCGCATGCTCCAAAAGCGGAGCCGCACTCACAGCCACCCTCATCACTTTTGCATTGGCAGGGTCCTGTCAACTGAAATGAACCCCTGGAATGAAAACATCTGTGTTAAAAGATGGATCCTGAGCGCCCTTCCAGCTCTCCCAGGGACAAACCCAGAGAAGGGAGCCTCGTTGTTCCACGCTGCGGAATAAACACCGCGGACATGGACGCGACCCTCTGCCCCACTTCTCCACACCTTCCACTTTCCGCGCTGTGTGGGCTCGCTGTGCCCTGTCCGAGCCCGGAAGGCCATGGTAGCCCCAGTGTTGTCCCAAAACTCGCTCTACATCAGCAGCAGCAGCAGCAGCAGCAGCAAAGCGGCGGCACCACCAGATCGGAAGGAAACTTGGGACCCCGGGAGCAGCAGGGGGAGTGGCGAAGGGGGGGAAGAGGAAAGCAGGGGGTGACCCCCTGTCCTGCATCCGGGGCTGGGAGCTGCCCCGCAGCTGAAGCGGTGGCGCGGAGGTGATGCGGGGCAGCTGCCTGCGGGGTCCCGCTCCCGGGGCGCGGTGCTGCCTAAAGGCGTGGGCACGGAAAGCGAGGAGCCAAAGTTTCGCCGGTGGGCACAGCCGTGCTGGGAAACGATGCTCCAGGGACAGAAATATGTTCCGACTGGCACAGCAGAGACTGAAGCCGGTCCCGGCTCTAAACGCCAAAGGCTGCCCCTGGCAGGACCAAGTTCAGTCCGGAATCCACAGAGCGCTTCCCAAGTCCCGCGCCCGCGACCTTCTTTCTCTCTCTAAACTTTGCCGCTGTGTTTTCAGGGCACTTTTCGCAGCAGGATTACTAGGGGGCATCGAAAGAAGTCGCGACAGGCAGCCAGGGTGGCGGAGCAAGCATTCCTCCGGTCCCTCAGGGGTGCGGGGGACCCGGGGCAGCCGGCCGTGGCGTGCCCGCCTGTTTCGGTGCGCTGGGGAGGGCCGGCCGCTGGTACAGCGCCTAGCACTGCCCGGCACCCGTTTTTTTAGTAGGCTCCCTCATTTCCCAAGAGCCAGGGATGGCTGCAGTTACAGGGTGTATTCTGACCTCCTCCAAAATCAAACCCGAGGCTGCGAAGGGAATCCCCGAGCCGGCTCCTAGCGATTCCCCCTGACCGGACCCCAGGCTCCCGCGTAGCTCCGCGCTGGCGGCGAGGAGCGATGCCACGCCGCCGCCGCGCTGCCCCGCTGGGCCGGGACGGGCTGGTACAGGGATCTCTATCGGGAGCGGGCCCGGGCCCGGCGGGAGCCGGCTGGGAGAGGTGGCGCGGCCGAGGCGGCACCGTGCAAGAGGCGAAGGAGACACCTATTGGCAACTGGCCGCCAGCAAACCTCCGGCCGCCGCGGGGAAACACCGGGGGACACCGCCGCCCGCCCGCCCGCCCGCCCGTCCGCCTGCCACCCGCAGCGCCGCCCGTTACCTTCCTCCGCCGCCTTCATGGTGCTGCCGACCTGGCGGGCTCCGCTCTGCGGGTCAGCCGCCTGCCTCTCTCTCCCGCTGCCTGGGTCCCGCGACGGCGGCGCGGCGGCAGCCGGCGGGGCAGCGCTTGGCATCCACCCGGCGGGGCAGCGGAGCCCCGGTGCCGCGTCCCGGGCCGCTGCCGGGCCCTCGCCGCCTTGCCCCGCGCCCCCCCCGCCCTCCTTCACGCCCCGGGGACCGGTGCCGCACCGGCCCCGGCGTGGTAGCCGCGCCCGCGGAGGCACAGGAGCTCGCCGCCGCCGCCGCCCCCCCGGGCCCGGGGCATGGAGAGGAGGGCGGGTGTGCGTGGGGACTTCGGAGGCACTGCCCGCGCCGCGGCGGCGGGACGGGGCGGCGGGAGCTGCCCGCCCGCCGGGTGCCGCAGGCGGGGGACGGGGGTGAGGGAGTGTGCGGAGCGGGGAAGTCTCGCTCTGACGCAGGGCTACGCGCCCGGCGCCGCCTTTTTAAAGCTGGAAAACACCCCCCCACCTCCCTTCCCCTCCCGGCCCCTCTCCCCGCCCCGGCCCCGTGATGTCAGCTGGGCCCCGGCCCCGCCGCCGGCTGGCGGCCAGCGGGAGGCGGGCACCGGAGGGCACCGACGGGCCCCGGACGCCGCGCCACCCTCCTCTCCGTGGGGACAGGGAGGCCGCCCGGCCCCCGGCCCGCCCAGCGCCGGCCCCGCCGCGCCCTGAGGGGTCCCCGCAGCCCGCGGGAGCCGGGTGCCCTCCTGCGGGGGAGCGGGTGGCGCGCCGGGGTCGCGAAGTGAAGGAGGGGATGGAGGGGAGACGGGGGAGAGAGGGACGCAGGCAGGGGGGGAAGGAGGGGAAAAAAAAAGGAAAAGCGAGGCAGCCTCGCATGCTGAAATCATTATGTAAAAAATCGCAGGCTTCCCCCGCTGTGGAAATTTGGAAAAGAGCATCAACTGGCAGGCGAGAGAAAGGAAAATCCCATTCTGCTAAATTACTAACAGACCCGGTGGACTCGGTTTCAGCCGCTCCAGATTTATTATTATTGTTTTATTTATTATTATTCTGTAAATATCTCAGCAACCCACTTGTATCTCATCACTTCGTAGCGGGGAAAGGAGAGGTTTCCAACCCACAGCGGCTCCTCCTCCCGCCTCCCACCTCCGGGATGCCCCGTCCCGGCCCCCGCCGCGGCAGTGACACCCCGGCACGGGCCGGAATCGCCCCGGTGAGGGATGCTGGAGGGGCCCCGCCGCTTCCAGCTCCGTTGCCCGTTCCCTGCGCTCACTGTTCGCCGTCCCTCTGCCCCCAGAGCTGGCAGGAGGGGACCGTGCTTTCCTGTTGGAATTGGACGGTGGCGTGTGGAGCGCTGGGGTGGTTTTATGCGTATCTGGTGTGTGTGAAGAAAAAAAAATAATAAAATCATAAATCTTGTGCCTGACACCCATATGTGGTTGAAAATAAACCCAATATAAACGAAATACTGTCTGCTCCTGGGGAACAGGAGGCCGCGGCTGATCCTTCGGAGCGAGATCCTCCACTAAATCATGGTGGAAGACAGTCCCCACCAAAGAGTGCACTTAGCCAGGAGCTCAGCCATCCCCCCGACGCCACCGGACCCTGCTGTCCCCTCAGGTGGGGAAAAACCAAAACCAAAACCAAAAAGGGATGCTTTTACTTCAAAGAAAACCAAGTTGGAACGAAGAGGGAAAAGCCCTCAACCCCCAGCGCTATCGTCCCCAATCCTGAAGTCTCCCCTAAGGCACCAGGTGAAGGGGAGCCTGGACGTGGCAAACGCGGAGCGTGATGGGACCCGGGCCCCGCCACACAGGGGCGCCGCGAGGGGGCGCTGCTGGGCGGGCCGGGCACAGTGCGGCACAGCAGCGCCTCCCCCCGACGGCGCGGCCCCGGTTCGGCTCTCGGCGCTACCGGCGGGGAGGGGGTTGCGCGGGGCCATTTCCCACTGCCCGGTGGGGGCTGAGGAGATCCCGGCGCCTTCCCGGGAGGCCGGAGCGGGGGTGAGGCGCGGTGCGGGCGGGAACCGCGCTCCCCCCGGCGGGACTCTCCTTTCCTGCCCGCCCCCCCGCTCAAATGACGGAATCCCCCGTCTGTTTCCTCCTGTTTAATGCCGTTGCCCGGACCACCGTGGCGCCGCTCCAAGGCCCCGCCAGCCGGCGCAGGCAGACGGCGGCGGCGGCGCACCGCGGGGCCTGCGGCCGCCCCTCGCCCCTAGACCCCGGCCCGGTCCCGGCCCTGCCGCTTCCCTGGCCCCGTAGTCCCGCTCTGCCGCCCCGGGGCCGCCCGCCGCCGCCCCGCCTCCGCCCGCTGTTACTCTTCCCATTCCCTTGCGCCTCCCTCCCGCCTCCCCAAGTTTGTTTACAGCTGCTACTAGGAGAGACTGTTACACGGAGCTTATTTTGGGAGCTGGTGATGACTAACGAAGTTAAAAGGAGCTTAGTACAGAAAACAACCTTATTTTTAGACGGCTGTTGTTTCGGTGGATCATTGTAGCGAGTGTACCCTGGCCGGTTTTAAAAGCCACTTCCCAGATGCCAAGTCCTTTCTTCTGCGCTGTCGAAGAGGTGAGCACGCCTGGCCAGCCCCTGCATTGTTTGCTTTGCTTCCCTGCGTCTACTGGTATTTGCTGGGGCTACATTTGGCCTTAATTAATTTGGCCTTAATTAATTAATAAAGTTCTGACACACAAACCTACAACTCCTTCCACAGAAAAGGGGAAAGAAATAAAAATGTTATGGAGTATTGGAGCAATTTACAGCGATCTCCAGCACTGGGTCAGCAAGCACTTGAAACTGGATCCCCCTTGCCCTTTGGGACAGCTAACTCTTCTTCAGGACTTCTTCTCCCAGGTGGAAGGGGAAGGAGGAAGGGCTCTGTGTTCCACTTCATCTCTGGCAGTCCCCTGGGCTACAGAGTGACTACAGTGCATGTGCAGGGAGAGTCTGGCCATACACAATGGTGGGGAGATGTGGCTGCTGCCACTGCCTCTCTCCCCATCATCTCTCTTCTTCCCACATGGGAATCACTGCATGGCAGCTCAGGTTCTAAGACCAGGCTCAGTGGTCCCTGTGTTTGAGGCTGGTGTCTCACTGACCAGCCGTGATCCCTTGTGGGTAAATCACAGCAGAGCTAGCAGGATTTCATCAGGCTCTGCTCCCCTGGAAGCAGTGAGCAGATGTGTACCCCAGCAATAAACCCTTCCCTTGTCACCAGTGCTGTGCTGAGCCATGTCTCACCCCCCTTCACTGCTATGCAGCCAGGCTTCTCCAGCTTTCCACACAAGTGCTTCTGCTGTCCCCTCTTTTATCGCGGTCCATCTCTGCTGCAGAGAGCTGTATGGACTTCCTGGGCAGCTCTTCTCCGTCCACACATCCCGCAGCATGGAAGAGAGGGTGAGCTGGCTAATATCACCGGTGCTAATAGCAGAGGCAGTTGTGCTCGAAAGCAAAGTACTTGCTGCATTTAGCTAGTAATTAGGTAAATTGCCAGGGAGAGTACAGCTGCCCCCTCTACCTTTCCACCTTGGCTGGGATTGAGCACACAATGGCTTGCGTGGCCCAGGTCAGGCTAAGAAACTTGTCCAGTGGTGGCACAGCTCTCCCTCATGGGGAGCATCTGGACTGGGGTGAGGGTTTGGGAAGAAGGGGCTATAGCACAGCCACAGGGCAGGCCACAGAGCCTCTGTCCTGGGACACAGCCCAAGGTTCCTACTGAGGTTCCGCTGCCCTGATAGTGATCAGTTTGTACTGTAGCAATCACAAGCAGAAAAAATCTGTGCATCGTAGAGGCACGTGGGGCAGCAGTAGGAAAGGAGCCTTCCTTCCCGCTGTCTCTCTTCCCACCCATCAGCGGGGTGGGTGGGAAGTGCTGCCACAGCTCTGCAGCACATCCCACCTGCACCCCTCCAACACTGGAGCTGCCTGCACTCCCTGGAGCCTGTGTTGGCTTTCCCTGTGCAGCTTGGCGTCTGACATGTGCTTCCTCTAAACCCCACACACCACTCCTTTGCTGTGGGAAGGAGCTTAAATAACACAGGCTTGAATGGGCACTTTTGGATCACTTTTTACCTCTTGTGTTCATCTTTGCAAGCAAAGCTATAAATTTGCCCTCTGTACTCAGCTCTTGCATGTGAAGGTAGTGCTGTCCTTGGAAAAAAAGGAAAACACTCCCAAGACTGTGGAGTATTTATACAGGATGTTTCAATCACTGAAGAGTCTGATTCATGCTCACTAGATTAATTTCACATTATAGTAAGCCATGCGAGTGTGTGTGTTCCCTCCTGCATTTTGCTTTTCTCTCATTTTCGTTGGGCCTCAGCAGACTGGGAGGGATGGTTTGCATGGAGCTTTGTGCACAGTAGCTACAGTATTTCTCAGGGAACCTCTAATTCAACCAAATGCCCCTGTTGTCACCTCACCAGAAAATGTAGGTTAGTAGCATGGCACAGCAGACAGGCAGGGCTGCTGTTCCTGACTTCCACCCTCACTGGCTTACAAGACTTGGGGTAAATTGTTTCTCTATGCAGTGTCCTATAAGATGAGGAACTTTCAGCTTCATCTGCACAGAAGTGTTTTGAAAGCAGGACGGGGTCTCTCCCCACTATTTACCAAAATTATGTATCTTCTCACAATAAATGCAGAGAATCCTATCCCATAACCCAAGGTACAGACGGATCAGAAAAAGCCACCCGTGCTCTGCAAAGAAATACTGTTCTGTTTTGGGCTTCTTGCCCATATATATACTTACAGCCTTTTATACATAGCTTATATAATAATGGCCAATCTCCTTAGGGTCTGCGTGCCCATCCTTTGGGTCTTGGCAGCTTCAAAAGCATCAGCATCTGTTTGGAATTTCATTCACTGTAACAAAAGATTTATAAGTCTCAAGCCTCCCTAACCAAGTCCCTAATTAAAGTCTTTCTAATCCCCTGCTTTGAAAACTGTAACAAGATTTGCTGGAAAGTGAGAGAACACATGGCCAGTGTTTGCAGCCGGTACAGCACCATTCTGAAAACACGTCCATGAAACTTTCAATCAAGACACAGAGCACACCTGAGCGGTGGCCAGCTGCTGCCCAGAGCCCCCCAAAGTTATAAGCTGATGCAGAGGCAGGGGCTGTGCTCGGCCTCCCATCCCCCAGACACAGCCCCTTTCACAGGCTGCCAGAAATCATTTCACCACTTTTAAGGTGCATTGCACTTAGCAGGACAAATGCCAGAGGAGGAATTTTGTGTGCTTGAATAATGTTGTAATTTACCTTATAACCGGTCTCATTACAACGCTGAGTGCTCTGTTGATTTACCTGGCTTTTGATTTAGTGGACTCTCTTTAAACGACTATTTAGGAACGCAGCCAGGGACTGCAGGCAAAGGACCTTAAACCTTCTTGGAGCTACAGTCACCTGCTCAGACACCGACTTTTTAAAATCAAGACAGACAGCAGACAGCCACATCAGACCCATATACAGAACGCAGCGACTGAATTAAAGCGAGACGTTAGCTCAGAGCAATAATTTAATAATGATACACGCTGCATCGGTGCTGCTCTGTTTCCTTTTGGGTTTGCCCCTTCTACAAACCTGAATCGCGAACAGGTTTGTGCCCTGTGCTCTGAGTGGACCCCTTGCTGCTGGCTGGGGCCACTGTGCATCATCTCCTCTCAAAGGCTGGTCCAGGCTGAGGTAGGTGCCAGCAGTGGGCTGAATCCTGGCTCTGTTGTGTGATCCTGGGGTTCCGCTATGGTGATTCTGGTGCTCTCTTCCCACGACAAAACAACCATCAAAAGTCAAAGTACTGATACACTGCATTTCTTAGTGGGCACTAGCAATGAAATGGCCAGAAACTAAAACGTGAGAAGTTTCGCCTCAACATGAGGAGGAACTTCTGTACAATGAGGGTGGCAGAGCACTGGAACAGGCTGCCCAGGGAGGTTGTGGGATCTCCCTGTCTGGAGACATTCAAAATCCACCTGGATGTGTTCCTGTGTAACCTGCTTTAGGTGGCCTTGGAGAGGTTTGGACTGGATGATCTCCAGAGGTCCCTTCCAGCCCTAATATTCTGTGTGGTTCTGTGAAATGTGCAATGCGGTGCGTGGTTAAAAAGTATGAGCATGTATAATGCTCTGTTTGTGAAACAGTACTAAAGAACTGGCAAATTTTTATACTTGTGCAGTGTAGACAGACTTGCAAAGGAGCAGTGACAAAGTTTTCTACCACACAATGTATTTTAGCTCCAGAAATATTTCACATGTCTCAGACTTTTCCAGTTGCTGTATAGAGGGTGGTAACAAGTCTTTTTGCCTCGCTCAAAAACACTTAATGAAGGAAAGGCTGGTTGGGTACGCAGGGGCTCAAGCTGGCAGCAGAGCAGACCCTTCTCCAGGGAAGGGAAACACCAGATTTACGATGTCTGCAGGAGTCCGGGACTCATGTAGGTATCGGTTCCTGCACACAGCAGGGATGGTGGCTTTCACCTCATCCATCCTCTGAGGCGTGGGGTCGCACCTTTGTTTTTGGGCAGAGCGAAGCAGTTTTTTCCAGATGTCTATATTTCATCTGTAGGAGTAGGGTTCCTGCAGAAGGCTTTGTAGAAGTGGTGACCCACAAGTATGGTTGTGAGGCCTGGGCTGAGCCTGTGATGATCAGGAGTTTGGAAAGGCTGTGTGTGGATCTTCCACTGCAAAAGGGGTTCCTTTCCCTCTTGACATAATTCATAAACTCATAAGCCTATGAACTCTACACCCCCTATAAAGTCTGCTTTAAGTGACAGGCCCCTGTAACTCATCTGGTTCTCTTTTCTCTGCTGGTAGTTGGTCCCCGAGTAAATCTCCCTCTGCGACCAGAGGAGACCTAGACCAATATGATTTACACCAAAGGTGGCACGTGTGGTTGAGTTGTGGTCACACAAAGCGCCCTGGGGGACCAAATATGTCCTTAGTGTCTCTGCCAAGACGTGTGCTACAGCAGCATCTCCTCTTAAACATGGTGCCAAGAGCACTCTGGTTGCCACATGAAACAAGCAACCCAATGTGAAGTCCTGGACTCTCTGGCTGCAGCTTGAGCCCTGTTTTCCAAAATCTCAGCTGCACTATTATTTACTTGGCTGCTGCTATCCCTACCGCTCCTCAGCACCAGCTCGAGTCTTCTTCATTAGTTTCCTCCTGCTCTAAGTCATTAAACTTGCATTTAAATGTGCTATTGGTTCTCCCTAAACGAATAACCTTCCATTGTGTAATACTGAATTCCTGTGTATTAGCCTGTTCCCCCAGTGTCTCCAAATCCTCCTGCAGTCTGGTGCATTCCTGAAATTTATCAGCAGTCTCCCCTCCTATCATGATGTCATCCACATCTGGACGCCCCGCATATCGCGCCAACCTCGGGCTCATTTGTACAACACTCTTAAACAGAACAAGTCCCGGCACCGAGCCCCAGGAGATCTGGCCTGTTGGCTCTCTTCGTGTGTACAGTCCTATTTATTGCACTTCTCTAACCCAAGTTTATCCTCCTAATACCGACACTCCAATAGTTGTATACTTTTTACTGACCTCATCTTCTGATGCAGTCAGTAACCTTGGTAAACTCCA